GAGCAATCCTCTAGAGTTACCTTTGGTGCTCCGCAGGGGAAGGCACAAGAACCCCTCACAATCACAATGATCAAAGAAAGAGACAATCACCTTCCTTCGCTCGATGATCCACCAATCACCGGGCCATCTAGGTGTCGGCAAACATCAAGAGTAACAAGATCTCTACCAGCCTAAATCGCCCAACTAGTGCCACCAGATGCTAGATGACTAGGCAATGCACTAAAGGCTCTCCAATCTCACTCAAGATGATCAAATCAAGTGTGCCAGTGAGTGGAGTGGTGTGCTCAGCTCTCAAATGTTGTATGTAGCTGTTAGAAGTGCCAAGAGAGTGGCCAAGGCCGGCCACTAGCTCTATTTATAAGCCTACAAGCAAATAAAGTTGTTACCCCTTTGGAGCAGCTTTCTACGAGGTCACCGGACACGGCGGTGCAATCACCGGACAGGGAGTGGCAGTGACCCTCCAACGGTCATCCAACGGCTAGCCACTAGCCGTTGGGGCACCGGACAGGTGGCGGCGGCACCAGACAGGGGGTGGCGGTGCCACCCCAAGCCAGCCCCTGGTTTTCCCTCCTCTCTAGAATATTAGGGCGGTGCACCGCCATGGGGTGGCGGTGACCATGGTGGTGCCTGTCCTGGTTTCCCCGGCTCTCTAGATAAATGGGACGGTGCCACCGGACAGGGTGGCGGTGCCACCAGCGGTGCACCATCGTGCCTGGGGAGGTGTACGCCATCACTGACGGTGACCACCTTCACACTTTACTTCTCGGCCAAGTCCCGGTGGGCACCGCACTAGGGGTGGCGGTGGCACCGGACAAGGGGTGACGGTGCCCCCTAGAGCACCTCCCTCTTGGCCTCCTCTGCCGGTCACCATCACAGGGGTGGCGGTGCACCGGACAGGGGGTGGTGGTGCCCCTAGGGCAGCACCCCGAGCCGAGTTTCACCTCCTTTTCTTCACCTCTTCTTTGCAAATGTGCTAACACTCCAAGTGTCTCACCATCACATGCAAGTGTGTTAGCATTTTCACAATTATTTTTCAAAGATTAATCACTTTCTCACCGATTGTGCACTAGGCCTAAAATGTAATGCAAGTATTCGAACACCTAGTGGCACTAGATGGTCGAGTTGTCCGATAAGAGCTCCCATCTTAATAGTACGACCATCTATCCTAAATGTGACCACACTCTCTATTGTGTCTCGATCACCGAAAACAAAATGGCTCTATGGATTTCACATTTGCCTTGAGCCCATTTTGTTTTTCTCTTCTTCTTTCCAAGTTCCGGAGCTTTGATCATCATCACATGTCCACCAACAACACTATAGACTTCATCTTGCTCCACCACTTGGATTGAACCATCTTATCTAATCACACACTTAGATGCAAAGATTAGTCCAACTAGGTTTCATCAATTATCCAAAACCAAATTAGGGCTTCCACATTTCTCATTCCATCTTCTATGTGGTGTCCCGCTATGTTCTTAGGGACCATCTAGCCACTAGTTTGGCTCGAGGGCATCACGGTTCTTACGTCTTGTGTTTGAGGTGATTTTGGGACAGCGGTCAAAAGTTTCAAAAAAACTTACGGTTCCTACTTGCTATTTTTGGTCCTCCAATATTTATTATAAATATAGAATTGTCTTATATATATCTAGTTAAACTTTAAAAAGTCAAAAAAGCATGATGTACCCTTATTTTGGAACCGATAATGTACATGTACTAGAAGGTTTAAATTTTTCAGCGAAATACTAGAAGAATCATTTTCTTGTCTTGTTGATTTGACTCTCTTCTCCAAAGGAGCATGCATGCCCACGGATGGAGTACACGTGATCATCTAATCGGTTCCTTGGAAATGGCACCACGTACATTTGTTTAGTATTCCCTCGGTTCACGATAGAATGCAATTCTAGCATGGTGTCATGTTTTAAAATATTAAGTTGGACTAATTATAGATAAAAAATATTAATATTTATGATATAAAATAAATATTATTAGATTAATTACGAAATGTATTTTCATAATAAATTAATTTAAAGTCATAAATGCGAATAATATTCACTAAAAATTTTGTCAAACGTGGATTATTTTTGTCGGCACATAATATGTAGTTGCATTCTTTACTAGACAGAGGGAGTACACATCTTGGATTTTTTATAAGTCAATTTCTGTTAAGTTGGACTAAATTTATAAAAAAAATATTATAAACATTTATGTCGCTAATATATTTATTGTGAAAATATTTTTCACTATAAATTAAATAATATTTATATATTATAAATACTAATACAATATTTTTATATATTTGGTCAAACTTATAAAAGTTTAATTTCTCAAAAAGTAAGATGTGCATTTATTTTGAAATGGAGTAAGTATTTGCATATAAATCGAGTGCAATCATCTCTCGCCACCGCTCCTATATATCAGGTAGGTAGAGCTTTGGTAGTGTTGGCTCTACTCACTATTTTCTTCCATTACACGTGGATTGTGCGGTTGTCTCGTCTTAATTATTATATTATTCCCATCGGTTCTAAATATTTATTGTTTTATTAGGATTCTAGCCTCTAACTTAACTTGATCTATCCATTATATAAAATTCTATAAACATTTATAACATATTGCTCTAGAGTCATCATGAAAAATACTTTCATATTATATATAACCATTTCTATATGAAATGGATACTACCGATCCTATGGACATATGTTGTGAAATAGAGCGGGCAATTTTATTGGAGTCAAACTTTTACATCCGTGGAGTCAAATTGGCATCTCTCTAGATTTATAACTAGTTGAATTCTCAAACAGAGCGAGATTACGTCTTTTTCAACAAAAGATGACTGACGAACTGAGCTAGGTTAGTTAGTTAGATTAGTTTTAATAAAAATTGTACACCCGAGTTTGGGAAATTCAACTAGGCACCCGTGCATGTTAATTTTCACAATGGACGCTAGAAAAATAGATAAATCGTATAATCTAAACAAAACATAAACTTGCCAACAACAATTTGGCAGACTCTAGTTATGGTTGGCAACAAAGCCATTGGACCTATATTATATATTGTAAAAAGAATGCCCATCTCTTCCATGCATTATGAGATGTCTTAAGTAGCTCCTGAGTCTATATATTGTAATTACTTGCTTGGGTCGTCATAAAAAATAACCTAATCTAGCCACTAAATATTCATGTAAATTGACATCCATGCCATCATGAAAAATAGTCTAAACTACCCTCCTAAATTATCCACCTTTGTCATTATTTAAATAACCCAAACTAACTCATAAAAATTGCATCTAAATTGTCTACATACTCCGTCCTGTAATATAGCGCACTCTAGCATTTGAAATTTATCCTAAAATATAAGAGATTCGTTGGAAGAAAGATAAGGTTTACTAAATAGAAACGTTTAATTCAGTACTTGCCATATTTTTGTTTAAGCGAACTGAGAGTCCATCTTTTAACATGTGGAATAGAATCGGATTTCAATAAATTAGAAAGTTAAGTGATGGGTACATGTGTATATTACACTCTCTTATTTTGTCTGAGAATGGCTAGAATGCGCTATATTTCAGGATGGGGGTATGCTATTGCAAAAAAGTATTACCAAGTTCTCCTATATATACCTACTATACCCCTATGTTCCAAAATAAATGCACGTCTCATTTCACGAGGAGTCAAACCTTTTCCAAGTTTGACTAATAAGAATATAGAAAATAGCATTAATATTTATATCTGTAAATAAGTTATCAAAATATATTACATGCTCAATCTAATGATAGTTATCATACATCATAAATATTAATGTATTTTTATATATATTTGAGCAAGCTTTAAAAGGTTTGACTTCTTAGAAAGCGAGATATGTGTTTATTTTGGGACAAAGGGAGTACATGCCCACTTCTATATTGTATGCATGTGTAGACCACACATGCATGTATGTAGGAAACGATGAGCATCTCAATTTCCATGTTGCACGCACTAAGGTTTCAAACTAAAAACATGCCATTTTCCAGACACATGTGGAGGTACAATATCGATCGAGGGGGAAAACTTTAAATGGGATGGAAATGCACATATAATAATAACGAGTATATGGCATCTATGAGCGAGTGTCATGTTAAAATAGAAACAACCTAGAGATTAAAGATAAGAATTTTAATTAGGTATTGTTGATATTAATTGTTTGGAAAAACAATTGATAAATTTATTCACAAACTTCTGATTACCTACTATTTTCTCGTAGAACTATATTACATACTAACTAGTTTGAATCATTGCCAATGAAATTTTTTCACTTAAGACAGAATCTAGCAAAAGATCTGCCAATTATTAAAAACGAGAGAAAGCTTGACTGGGCGGTACAAAATATTGAACAAACATCCCAAAGGGTCAACAACAACTACCACAACTACTAGAAGCAAAACTATCAACTAACCAATCAAAATTTTGATTTTACCATTTCAAATCCTAATTTTCCTTGAATAGAAAAATGGGAGTTGCTATATTTCAGTCGCCTGAAATATAACATTTTTTCAGGCAACGTCTTAGGGCCATCAGATCTGGATCCAACGATCACATTCAAAGCTGGTTGTTTCTGTACACAGGCAATATTAACGGGTCCGTGAATCAAACCCGCCAAACCTTACCGGGTCCGCCAAACCTTAACAGATGCATGATCCAATACCCGCTAACTGAAGTTGGTGCTCGGCTGGGCTAGAATTGAACTATTGGCCCAGTAAACACACTCTTTTGAAGGGTTGCCCAGTAAACACACTTAACGTATCTATCCCATTGTAGAACGAGTCTCTACCACAAATTAAAATTGACAGAGTACAAATTTTATTCCACTGTTGCAAAAATAGACAATGAATATGGTCTTCAAAAGTTACAACACAAGAATATGAAAATTGCACGTTTCAAATAGTGCAAATACTATATATTGTTACTACAATTATATTGTATATGTATATAAACACAGAAGTGAAACTAATAACTAGTATTATAAATCCATCAAGCAACAAACTGTTCAAAATTACAATGGTCCAAACAGGCAATGGCAGGTTATTTATAGATATCACATACACAGTTGGAACCATATATAAACGAGGAAACAGAGGGCATAACAGGCATCAGAAACTCGAATCTGCATCATCCAATTGATGTCCTGAAGGGGAATCCGAGTATGCTCATCATGTGCTAAGACCAATATTGCCAAATTAGAAATGAAAACAACATAAAGGCAGAGAATACGGGTAAACTCTCAATTCAACAATGTGACAGACAAGTGAATCAGACACCAGGTTGCAAGGAAATGATAGGAATACCTGGTCAGGCTGTGCTACATCAGAGAAGATAGCATCAACCATGCCAACCAATATCCAGTACCTTGCCGGGTACCTGACATCCTCAGTAATGGAGATCAAATTGGTCCTCTTCTTTGCCATGTTGACAAGGTCTCTTCCACTCATGTGGGAGAACTCAATTGCATACACCGGCCAATTCTGCAAGACTGCAAGAGTGTCCAAACTCTTAAGACAACATACTACCATTGAACTAATACACAATCTGACAATAGTAAGGACCATGCTACAGCAACTCCTAGAGAAACAGAGTATAATTGGCAGATCAGTTGAGTTAGATGGACACAGAAGCTACTACAGCATGGCATCTCCACTTTAGACAGAACTGGAGGGGCATCAAATAAGAACAATAAAAGGCAAATGCATAGTACTGGTGCATATGGTGCAAAACATAGACCGATACTTACACTTGAGCTGAATGTCACAATTATCCTCTCTATGATATAAACAAAAAATTCCTCCATCTTCTTCCCCCTGGCTCAGTAGCAACCCACAAATTTTATAACAGCTATACTAGGCATACGCTTGGTGCCTTGCTGCAAAAGGCAAGGATGTCAAATGAAACTATGCAATTGCCCAAATAGCATTGGGCCACATATGTGTTGACACAAATAGTAAAGCAACGCACTAATAAGTAGATTACAGGTGGAAGACATTCTCTGGCACAAATCTACAGTCAAATTCACAGTCAAAGTGCAGACCAAATTATTGCTACCTATCTGACAAAAGCAATAAGGAGAGAACATAATTCATACAACCATACATGCTTTGAACTGAACAAACAAGGAATGAAAAGAACCTAAAGTCTACAAAATCACAAAAGCTGAATGTGTAGAATGCCATGTTCAGCTCCCCTAGTCCAATGTTTTTCAAGATAAACTAAAAAATGTCTACAGAAAATGACTATGAAGGCAATCAAATATCTGAGTTTGACTATTACTTTGCCTTGAAATACTACTCTGAATTTTTTTACATATACTTCTTAAAGCCGATTACGCAGATTTACTAAACAAGTAGAGTTTTCCCTTGATAATTTGATTGACAAAATTTGTTTGCATGAAAAATTTGTTTGCCAAAGATCACCATTTTACCTAATGATGGACAACTTTCTATATATATCTTCTAGTAATACAGTTGCAAAATACTAGTTGATAGTTTAGACTTCACATGTAAAATATTGAATCGGACTACTAGATCAATATTCACACCAAACTTTAGTAAGCCATCTAAGATAGATCACAATATAACATGTAAGGTACAGCTGTATAGCCATACATGCACATCAGTAAGCAAAAGCCAAGACTTACCCCAACGAGCAACTGCAGCCACTTTAGCCCCTTCACATGCTTTTGGACAAAAGGGACCCCCTGTTCCAAAGAATCAACAAAACAACAAACAAAGATGTGGTGTGTGTTGGTACAAATAACAAGAAACAAGCACTGTGCAACAAGAACTCAGATAGACAGAAGGTTTATCTATAGTTGTTAGCTGCTTCTAGGGCTGGGAGAGAGAGACAGAGAATGGTTGGTTGGGTGGGTGGGGAATAAGAGAACCAGACAGTGATCTAGGTCCAGGCAATGGCAAAAAATCACAAAGAACACAATTATAAGGACAAAAATGTGGTCTATATTGGCACAAATCCCAATTAACAAATTACAATTTTTTTCTATAGAAGGACAAAGTGTGCATTTAGAGAGAACATATACTGACCATTGGTTGCTGAGAAGTAGGGCTAGGCAATGCACTTGAGCACAACTCTTCCTTCACACAAAACTTGAACCCCTATCCCAAACAACCTCCTCCCTCCTTTTGACATATGCGAGAACTTTTAGGAAAAAAGCCCAAGATGCTAAAATAGGCTCAATTCAAGAAGGCAGCTTTGTGGACAATAATCAGCGATGAAGAAACACACTGTTGTTTGTTTGTTGTAAAAAGATATTTAGGGCCAACACAGAAACACAAATCAAAGAGGACAAATGAGAGGTGTGTGTTGACCCAAATTACAAAAAACACATTTGAATACGTTTTAGCACAGATCACAAGAGACAATTTTTTTCTATGGAAGGACAGATCACAATTTTTTCTATGGAAGCACAATCACAGATCACAAGAAACAATTTTTTCTATGGAAGGACATATCACAACTTTTTTCTATGGAAGCACAATCGCAGATATGTCTAATATTCTGAAAAACAATGAAAAAATTTCCAAATTATGCAACTAATCATGACTTCACTAAACATGGTTCCTATCGTTAACTTATGCATAGGAACCATGACTTCACTAAACATGACTTCACTAAGCGCCTTCTCACAGTTTTTCTAGAACAAGGCACTATAAACCATAGAACCAAAGTAGCAGGGCAATTTCAATTGCACAAGAATAACACTTGGTTCTCTTACCCAACAGCATACACAATTAGGCAATCCTGATGAGATGCAAAAACATCCTACCAAAACACATAATGTAACAAATTAGCTATGCACTACAAAGCCTTTAAACAAGCGCAGACCACTAGTTAGTCCTCACTCCTAGCTTGCTTAGAAATTGTAAGCATCCCACAAATATAGTTGACACAAGGAAGCAAAGCCCCACCTGTTAACTTGTTAATGCAATTATATTGTATTTTATGTTAAAAATTACAATACACAAATATGAAAATTGCACATTTCAAATAGTGCAAATAGTACTCGTTCTTAATGCAATTTTATTGTGTATGTATAGGAGAGTTCAACAGCACTAGTTACCTACAACTGCTATGGACAAGAGCAACAAACAAAAGAAATGAATGTGAGTTTCCAAAATTCATACCTCACATTTATCAAAAATATGTGCTAATACTACTCAGGTTAGCTAACTGAAAACATTCCAAAATTCCCAACATGAAATCTTAAACACACAATCCAACAATATAAGGCCAATGCTATAGCAACTCCTAGAGACTAGCCATATTCTCAGATTGGACCAAACTGCTTTCAGCTTTTCATAATCGAGCCGCTACTAAAGAACCTGATGACCACAATAATGTGCAATTGTTTGATAATAAATGTGCAATCTAGAAATAGATACTAACCAGCACGATCCAAAGCAAGAGCTGCAGTTTCAGCCAATGGATTTCCTTTTGAATGATAGGGAATTCTTTTTGGCTCTAAAACTTCCAAATCAGCACGGAAACAAATTTCACTTTATCTTTGGACTGAAAATAAATAGAAAAAATGGTTGTCAACTATCACATGATCACAACAAATACATAAAATGGTTCTACATAGAAAATGTAGAATGCAAGCTAAGGAAAGTGTAGAGAAGGAAGCACAGACCGAAAACAAAAGATTCAAACAGCCCCTAGGCTGGACTACAACAACAACAGCAACATTACATCTATGCTAGCTGCAAGTGTAGAGAGACTAGGGACTAGAGACTAGTGAGAAAGCTCAACAGTACATCTATGCTAGCTATAGGGAATGCCGAGAGAGAGAGAGAGAGACATAAATAAACAAAAACAATCAAATGAGCTCAAAAGCAGATGCCCCATGCCCCCTTCAAACAAAATGGATACAAGCTACTACTCAAGCTAGCAGTTCTAAATGGATGGTCATTACAAAACAATCAGTGGAGTGAGAAAACTTGGTACAAATGATATGTTACTAATAGACGCATTTAGGCAAATGGTTCAACAAAGAGCATATTGCATATGCTCATGACTACAATTACGGTGCCCTATACTTGCAATTTACATTATTGCTGATTGCAATTATGTAACCGGACAAAAAGAAAGGGTGAGTGGATTTCACATGTGAGCTTTTATCCTAGGTCATAGTCTCAATGCAACCTGATAATACTGCCATGTGTCATGCATAACAAAAAGCATGACCACTCTAAGAGTCAAACCAAGCAGATTAATCGAAAATAGCAGAGGTCTTTTAACTTGCCCATATGTATAAAAACACACCACTGTAATTTTAGTGCCACGTAGAATAATAGCAGAGGCAAAATAGACACAATACATATTCTAGAGGTATGCTACTGCCTAAACAATCTAGATCACTTCTACTACCTAAGCAAGCGAATTAACAATCAAAATCAGGTGCTTTGGTCAGAACATCACATTTGCGAGGCTTCTTACCAAAATGGCATGTTGTAATTTCACTCCTGCCACTTTCAGTGTGCCCACACAAGGCAAATGAAAACAAACTAGTTCTTTCACCTGTCTAAACAATGACAAATAGATGCAATAAATCCAATAAAGTACAAAACATATTTTTCCTGAGTATTTTTCCCCTCCTAGTCTATATGCCGACACCCAGCTGCCTACTTCCCACTGGCCAGGAAAACAAGTGGTACAAATTAAAGGCCCTAAAAAATATGGTGCATAGATAAGATTACTTAGCCAACTAATTGTCACACATAATTTGATACCGCAGCGGTACTAAACAGACACAACTGAGGTGATCCCTGAGACAAAGGTTTATGAGCAACGTAGTAAAGAAAGAGCTCTACCATATAGGTGCATACAATTTTTTAATATTGTTATTAATCCTACAAAATATCGAACCACAACAGATTTCTGGAAGGCAACAAAAAACTAAAAGGGAGAAGTAAAACAATCCGATTTCACCTGACTTGACGATTTTTGTGTATGTCACGAGTACACACATGTTCACCTATCATTGACCAATGATTCAACTGTGTTGTTCTAATGTTGAATGACATGATCGGTGACAAGAAGGGCAAGGGCTATCATGAAATGATCGTGGCGTGTACTTGAATTCGGGTTCCGTAATCAGGACAGAGCAACCATGCATTGCACATTTGCAGCCTATCCTATTTCACTTATTGGACAAAATACAGAAGTTCAAAAATAATATCAATGAACCCCCAACTTTCTTCTGGAAAACAAGAAGTGAAGGAAACGAGCAAGTAAATCACTACACTGCTTGCCGCTAGAGTTCAAACCACACACGGCAGCAGCAGCAGCAGCAACAATGCAACCGTTCTCAACCTCGCTCCAACCATCACCCGGTCACTAGTCGTCTACCGCGGCAGCGAAAAAGCGACGGCACACACGCCAAATGCAACCCAAAAAACATGAAATCCTAAACAACTAAATCCTAATTACAAATAATGAAGTTATTTATTAGCTTATGAAGCATACTAGCTTCCCCACCAGCAAACAACGGGAGATACTATGTGAGCGGCCAAATTTAGGACAACAAACAGCTGAAAATAATTTGGATACTTTCTGGACAGCAAATGTTGGCTTGACAATCAGAAGACACAAACAGACTGTAATCTACTTTAAACCCTGCTTCAAGTACTTAGGCAGACATTACCACAATAGCTACTCGGGTAATTTGAAGCAACTGATGCCTACATTACAGTAACTACACCACATCACACACAAGTTCATATTTGAGTTGCAAAAAGTCAGGTCAAAGCGTACTTTATAATATATAGCACGAGTTCC